TTTACTCTCGATTTACACGTTCTGGCAATTCACATCAATGTATAATCTTCATCATAATCCATTCATCACATACTCCCATTAATCTCATTTATATTCAACAAGCTCTTAATCTCTTGAAGCAATTTCAACCCTTTTGATGTTCACGTGAATGAAAGGAAAACAAAAAATAGGACTAGACTTCAAAAGCAATGAAACTTCGAGATGAAAAGAACATTTTCGTTTCACACGTAAATTCTAGCAGAACATGAAAAATGTAGCTCTTCTCAATAAAGAAAAGTGCGTAGGCAATGCAGTATATAAGTCTGAACTCCTTGTTTTTCGAATTGTTTACAGTCTACAATTTTTAGATCATGTTTTCTCATTCATTTTTCTAGTGGATACAAATTTTTCAATTAGTATTTCCTCTGTTTCTTTTTACACTCGGTGTCTTTAAAAATCAAAATAATTTTCCCCAATAGTTTTTTCGTTTCATGCTTCATGATCTTCTGAGCCTTTGAGGAGAAAAAAGTGCAACACTGATCATCAAGACAAGAAGAGACAACAGTTGGCGTGAATGGTGCTTGTTTTGACGTCACGTCAGTTGTGGAGAAAAGATAGGAGATGGGAATCCTTTTCACTCTGACCCGTAGTTTGCCCTGAAAACCTGCGCGAGACTTGCAAAATTACAAAAATTAAAATACCACATTCCCCCTAATAGTGCATCCAAATCGTCAACATTGAGCTCGATTTTCGTGGCTCCTGAGGAAAATATCAAACACTTGCCAATTAATAAAATGTTAATACATAATATTATGATAAATAATCTTTCAGTTCGCAACTTTTCGATATCTTCCACAGGAATCCGGATGATTGAGCTTAAATTTGACGGTTTGAGTGGGTATTTTTTGTTAATTGTCATTGGCATCTTACATGGGCAATCTTAGCTGAAAATGGACCTTACGTTTAATGAAAACAATAGTTTTTATTTTCATTTTTTCTGAATAACTGGCCATAATAAACTGTTTCGGATTAAAATTTAAAAAAAAAGGAACATTATCTTACCATTTTTCATAGATGAACGTTCCACATAGGCACATACATTTCCATAATTTTCATATTTCTCGGAGATCATCACCAATACCCCTCAACGATGGAGACGTATCTTCCAAAGGACACCGATACCCACAGTATCTCCAGTATCTCAGATTTCTTCGATAAGATCAGGCCTCCCGACGTTTAGGACACTCTTCAGACTGTTTGTTGATCTCTGTAGATGACTTGGGGGATAGTTTTTGCAATTGAGTAAAACAACTTTGCTAAAAATGTTTTTTCTTAGCTTAAAATTTTTCTTACACGCTTTTTTAAACATACTTTGTTGGGGAGACATATAGTGTGTTTATATGTTCCCGTAACTTGACAAATTGTCTAGTACGAGCCACTGAAAAGAAAATAGTAAACGTAGACGTTGTATTCATGCATTCATTCAATTTTTTCTTTTTGTCGTGTGTTTTCTGAGTGACGTCATATACACAAAAAGCACACTCCCAGAAAAATGAAGAAGGCTAGAAAGGTCAAGATCGATCAAAATTTTGTGATTTTATTTGAGATTTATTATGTATATTTTCGAAAAAAAAAACTTCTCGAGTGATCATTGAGATTTAGTCCAAATAACAGACATGGACTTCCGGCTTTCTGAATTTCGGATTCTGACATTTTTTATGGGACAACAAACACATAAGTACGTTTTTGAACTATGATCAGAATGCTTTGTAATGCTTTGTGATCATGATATCAAGGTTGACACAAGTGATAAGTGATAGCTGTTTGATTTGTCGACGGAATCAAAATGACAAGGTTTCATTTTCTGAACCCGTAGTTTACATCAGAAGTTTAGCAGAATAGAAACGAGGGATTAGATTTCTATGCTTTTAAAAAACGTTTTATCTATGAGAAGAGATTCATATTGTCATTTTCAATGTACTAACACATGTGGGACACCATTGAAAAGTATGAATGTATAGAGACATGTACGGGATAGCTCGCGGAGCAACGATTCGCAACATCTTCATGTCGCAAGCATAACCAACTGGCCTTTTTGCTCATCGTGAGGGGAAAAGAGAAGAAACGACGTGAAAACTTTTTTCCTTTTGACAAGTACTGAGTCTCTTCTCAGCCTTTTCGGTTTTCCACACTATTTACGCATCGGTCGTTCACTCTTTCTCCGCTCCCGACGTACACACTAGTTTTGTCTCTTTTCAAACTGCGTCTCATCTTTCGTTTCTTTGAATAGAGAGTTTTTTCTCTGCGGTCTCTTCCACCTAGTCTACTCTCTCGCCCCGTTTTCGTTCTGTTCGTTTGTCTCTGTGCGGTCCGAATGTAATATTGGTGTGGTGGCTATCTCTCTCTCTCTCTCTCTCTTCATCTCGTTCTTAGCGTTTTTCCCATCTTTCTCTCGCTTTTCACCATGTTCACCAATTTCTACGTCTATCTTTTTTTCTTTTTTTTATTCTTGAGTTTTTTTTTTCTGAGTTTTCATCATTTTCCTTTTTCATTTCTGGGTTTAATCCATCTTTTACGAGAAATGATTTTTCTAAGAACCAGAAACCATGGATTTAGAAGAGATTAGTACAAATCCTGCTTTTCTAAGAGTCCAAATATGTCGTTGATCACATCCAAACACAGAAACGAAACAAACGTGAAGAAACTTGTACACGGAACAAACTAAAACCGTAGCCAAAGAACGCGGTGATAGTAGTTGTCGCAAAAAGTCCACAAAGCACTGTCAAACATCATTGACCTTTCCTACCTTACACTTTTGGCAACAAACGCCTGTGTTTCACTCAATTTTCTCTTTAAAAAAATTTCGGTCCCGTTCTCCGCTTTTTGTACTCCTTTTCAAGTGGAATACTTTGTAGTTAAACCTTATGAGATCTCCGATATACGCGTATGTGTCCCCAATTTTCTCTGACCTCACTGCACTTTTCCGCAACATTCCAAACTTATTTGTGTGGTAAGTGTATTCGGGGTTTTGTTTCGAAAACCTTTTCGTTTGAGTCTTCGGAAGAAACCCGTTTCTTGTAGTTGTCCTTACCATTCACGTTTTTACTATCTTATCAAAAGGAAACGGACAATAAATAGTTTCTTCCTAGTGATTCTTGAACTATTAGATATTAAAAACGTAGTTTTCCTTTATTCATGCAAATCTAAAATTTTCGAACTATTGAAAAAATCATTGTTCAAGTCTTCTTGATGTCGAGGATCATCTGAGAGAAATGAAAGGAAATCTTATCAAACACAGATAGATCATCTCTTTTAAATGTGTTTTAGTCATCTATCAATCTTGTCATAAACATCGGTGAGCCATTTCGCGATGAAAAAATTATTGATGGTAACGGAAGCGTTTGGGGCAAATGTGTAGAGGTTCTTCTTCCCACATAAATGATTGAAAAGGAAGGGAAGCATTAGAATTAGTTGTAATGCATTAAGCTGAGAGGTTCCACTGACGTCTTGATGTGTTTATGTGCTCATTGATTATTAAGAGGTATTTTTTGAAAAGTTCTGAAAGGTTCTGGAAATATTCATTGAAATAAGTAGCGTACTTCAGAGTTTTTTATTTTTTTCGCATTGTAAAAAAATTTGACTTATCGCATTCATGACTATAACGTGTGTTTAAGAATACTCTAATAATTTCAGATTATTCCTTCAATAATAAGTTTGGGTTTTATGAATGCAAATGGATTTTCCGTTACAGTTATCGATTTTGATAGCAATTTCGGCAATTCAGAAAAGTTTCCAAAATTTTTTTACATATTTAAAAACTTCTCAATACGTACTTTACAATTTCAATTTGATTTCAAGCTGGCAAATGCTCTATAAACTTTACCATCATGAGCATTCTTAAGAGATCTGAAAATCCTAGAAATGGCGAAAATGTCTCAACATAATTCCGAAACTTGAATAGAGTAATCATTATCTGCTTGATATTTTAAAATCGACTGTTTGAAGATTAAGTGACCATTTTCAACAAACAACAACTAATCACAAATTTCGCTTTCAAAGAAACTCGAGATTTTGAAGTTTTCAAGGTGGTCCTATCATTACACATCTCGATCTAAAACATGAATTTCGTCTCTAGTCAATGTTATTACAATTTTTCTAATTTAAACTTTTTGGAATTAACTTCTACGCATATTTACTCTCTACTTTTTCACTGTAACAATATACAACGTTTCGAATAAACAAAATGATCAGTTTCATGTTCTCCAACACCTTTACCAATCCTTTTTTACCGATCAATACAGTGATCACTGAATTTAAAATACTTCAAATTAAAACTAGTTCTTTTTCCTTTCTTTCTCTCATCACTTGGGAAACAATTTTTTTTGAAACATCCCTATGAAAATATCGAAAGTTCAAAGTTTCGTTCTGATTGCCTTTCGCCTTTCTTGTTCCTCTCTTCTATGACTCTCTGATTCTCCTTGTCACTCATATAATCAACAACACATTTGGCATGGTCATGCGCAGTCTGCGTATCTATTAGTGAGACACACGTACATACCATACACATACTACGTTTCTAGAACAGTCTGGCTTATTTTCTGAAAGAGCCAGCCTTCTCCTATGATCAACAGGTGATTGTTGTATTATTGAAATTGACTCTAGTTGAGACGTATATAAGATGCGATGCTGAACTTTGGAAGCATAATGTTTGAGCTGCTTCCTCGAATAATCTGAATTGAAATTTAATCCTATTCCATTCTGCCGAGATGCACTAAACTTCAGTGCGCACATAATATGTACGTGATCTGTCCATCTTTTCATCTCTTTAAATATTTTGTCACTTTTCTTTCGTTCAGTTCTACTTTGAAATATTTAATGAGTTTTTATCTATTTCTTACGAAACTGCATTTCACATTTGGTTTGTTTCCTCCGAGACACCGTATTTACATTTCATAATCTTATTGTTTTTGACAGTTTCTTTCATTTGAATTTACAAATTTTTCCAAATAATTTTTTCAGCCATGCTGGCCTTTGAAAGTCCAATCGCAGAATCCAGTTACTCACGTCAGAAAGCAAAAGATCTCGCCAAAAAATTTACACCTGGTATATTTTTAGAATTCAAAAAAATTTCAGCTAAAACTTTGAGATTTTACAGGTGAACTTTGCACTGTTTGTGGTGACGTGGCATCTGGAATTCATTACTCAGTGGCCGCTTGCAACGGGTGCAAAACGTTTTTTCGTAGAGTTGTTTTAGAGGTGAGATTTGATTTGGAAACCAGGGATTTTGTACAGAGCCAAATTAACTATTTGCAGAACCGAACATATTCCTGTAAAAATAATGGCGACTGTATAATCGATAAATCAATGAGGTGTTCTTGTCGACATTGTCGGTATAAAAAGTGTATAATAGCTGGGATGGATCGGGCAGAATTGAGTATGGAAAGGAGGAGGAAACGGAAAAAGTTAAATGGGATAGAAGGATTGGAGGAACGATACGAAACCACCAATCCTTTAATAAACCTGCTGCTACATAAGGAGAAATTGTGAGTTTTTAAAGTTCAAGATAGCTTTTTTGAAACCAAACATTTTAGATATCAGAAACTGTTACACTCTTCTGCAATGACGATACACACTTCGCTGCGAGAAGCTCTGGACATGTCACAAATTGCTTTTAATGACACGAACAACAAAGTGAGTTGGTTTACGGTGTAAATCTTATTGAAGGAGGGCTCAAACCAAAAATTTATATTTTATATAAATGTGTAGGAAAATCTGTAGATCCCCTTGGCAACAAGGACAAGTTCAAAAAAATTTGCAAAACCTCGAAAAATTGATTCAAAGAAAAACGAAGAAGTCTCAGTTCTTGTCCATTTCTGTAGAAACTGAAAGGTTTTAATTATCTTTGGATTTCTTAGAAAACTGAGATTCCTGAGTCACCTTTAGAAGAGTGTGAATAAAAAAACGGAAAGCTTTCAGATTTGGCGCCAATTCGAAAAAAATCAGAACCTTCTAGAATATTCTAGAAATGGACGAGAACTGAGAATTTTTGCTTTCTATTAGAGTCATCAGTTTTTTGACGTCTAATTTTCAGTCGATTTCAGTCTTCTGATTTTTTCTGTTTTCTATTTTTCAGTATCCACTATGTATTTTATATGTGGACCTTTTTTGAATCTCCAAAACTTTCACAGATCCAAAAAATGTTCTAAACAATTAAATCACACTTCAATCTTGAGGCCTCATGAAAGGAAAATTTGAACTTGAAACCCTTTGAAATAAAATTTTTACGAATGGCTATTACGAAAGTTTTTTGAAACAAAGAATAGAATACAAATTCAGTTCTCCATTACAGATATTGTTACAATATTGTCTTTTGCAGTACGACGATCGTATGGACCCCAAATATCCGACCAACTTCTCATATTGGCGAGCCAAAATCCTGACAGTATTAGTGGAATGGGCGAAATCTTTTGAGGCAAGTATCTCAGTAACATTTTTCAAAAGTCTACATTTTCGTTTCAGGTATTCAGTCATCTGCAGCCGGAAGACCAGAAACGGCTGTTCATCCATACTGCATTTTCCAATTTAGTGTTAGCGGAAGCGTTTCATACTCCAGAAAAGTATAATGATCGGATAGTGTTTCCTGATGGTTTATGCGGGTTAGTGACTTTTCTGATTCACAGCGAAACAAGTTTTTTGTGTTCCAGATTTCGAAATGTAGCGCAAACAGTGTCTAGTGATGGCGTTTCTACAAAAACATATGGCCTGACACCAACAGTTGTAGCAGTAATCAATGATGTACTCGTTCCAATTCGGAGGATGCGGCTCACAAAAGTGGAATATGTCTTGCTGCAAGCCATCATCTTTTTTGATCCAGGTTAGTAGAAACATTTAGTTTTCAGATTTTCTAAAACATTCCTAAAACTCATGAACAGAAATCTTTTTGTAAGCATAAATCCAAAAGCACCACTTAAAGCAAGAGTATCGGTTCTCAACTACTGTAAAAACTGTAATATAATGCCATCTGTAATAGAAGATCCCCTCTAATATAACGCCACCCTCAAGAGGTGATTGGAGATAGCATAACAAAGTTTTAATGTTTGATTAACAAAGTAGCAGTGGAATCTAGAAATTTCGCATTATTTCTTCCATTTTGGTTCACTGTTAATCAAGTGAAAAACTAGCTTTTGTTTTTTGGCACAGCTTTTTTTTTTGGCACAGTTTTTTTGGCACAACTTTTCTCCAGGGCTAGGCAAGCCCAGGTCCGCCCCAGTTGGGGTCTAAAAAGGTCTTTTTTTCTTGAATTCATGGTTTAATTAAGACTCGATCTTGAATTTTCGCTCGTTTTTGATTAGCGCGCTTATTTTTTCACCTGCTTAACATGAAAAAAAAATTCTGGGTATTTTACGTGTCTACAAATCTTTCCATCTATTTTTTCTTTGGAAAAATTGGTTTTTTGTTAAATTTGGATTCAGTTAGGATTACGAAAAGCACTAATGGGTCCCTCAAAAAAAAACAAAAAAAGAAATCCGTCGAGCCGGATTCGAACCAGCGACCTAAGGATACCCACTGACTCTACAGTCCTCCGCTCTACCAACTGAGCTATCGACGGCACGAAAGTAGAGAAGGCAGACGGCAGATATATAGAAGCAGGTCGGCAGCCGCGGCGCACTCTCGTTTCTCTCATGTCTCTCTCGGGAAAACCAACATTGTGTGTGGAAGAAACGCTCTATTGCACGAAGTAGCAGATTTTCCACTCCCTCCCGAAAGGGAAAAAGCTGGAGTTCTTCTCTTGCGCTTTCACAGACTACTTCCACAAAATTGAATTATCGAGAGTACGATTGCAGATCCAGTTATTCTGAAATCCCAGGTGGCATGACAAATCCTGCAATTCGGAAAAGAGTAGTTGATTTTGTGTGCGGTTAATTTGATAAAAACCCCACATATTATAACACTTGGTAGCATTACCTAGAAACTATAAGAATATGAGCACAAAATAATGCGAGTAAAAATATGGATGTATGATCTTGAAATTTGTCTATAAGTAGAAAGTTGGAAGTAAAATTTTGACTACTGTATGGATTTTACATAATTTTTCAGTAGATGCTGAAAAAGGAAAAAATATAAAAAACATTAAATTTTAAAAATTAGAAAAAAACAAAATTTTTCATTCTGCGTTGCCGCATGAGATTATGTTAGGTGTCTTCATGTTTCACGAAAATTAAAAAATCAGTCAGAACCAGTTTCCGGCAAAATTCAAAATGTTCAAATTCACAAGAATTTCAAAAGAAATCCGAAATTTTGTAGTAACATCTAATTGCCCGCGGTATGTCCGGGGTATCAGGTTCCTGTGATAAAATAGAAGAAAATCAACAAGAAATGTAACAAAATCGGTTTATTATGAACAAGTTAGAAAGAAACAACAAATAAAACCTTAGAATTTAAGCAAACTCACTTAAAATCCTTAAAAGAGTCTCTAGAACAACTACGAGCCAAATCCAAGCTCGCAATCACTCAAAACTAAATTCAAACTGTGCGCGCGCCGAGCGGGATAGCGGAGTGTCGTTGCGTGGTTAGAGGGAACCTTTAGAAGGAGTTGGAGGGTAGATGCACCTGGCAACTATCTTCAGCAAAATTTTTTAGGAGTTGTGATAAAAATTGTATGTTTTGTATCTCGATTCCTGTAACATACACCAACATTTGTCAACTGGCAAACATAAGTATTGACTGATAGTTTATCAGTTGACACATTTTCAATATCATTCACAGGAATCGAGATAATTGAGCTCAAAGTTCATGGTTTGGGTGGGCTTCTCTTAGAGGAACGGTATTTATGAAATAAGGGAAAACTTGTTTATTCTGTTAGAAATAGCTCTGAAAAGGTGTCTGTAAAAACGGAGAAATCTTGTATTTAATTTTGTCTGAGCTGTAAATATTCATTTCTTATTTTTAATGAAAACGAACAACTTCTACTTGAGAAAGGTACTTCCAGCCAAATTTCCAAAATGCCTGTTTTACTTCTTTCTTTGTGTTTCTTCAGTTCGTAATTTCATTTTTTTTCAGACTGTCTATCATTGACAAAACACGGTTCCCAGCTGATTGCTGCCAAACGGAGGAGACTTTTACACGCCCTTCAAGATTGGCTTCAACAACAAAACAAGCATGAAGCCGCAGGAAGATTCGCCGAAATCCTGCTCAGAATATGTAATGTACAGGTGAGTATTCTTCCGGTGTCTTTTATTATTATTTTCGTGAAAAAACTTTGGAATTGGGAACAATATCATGTGGACGTGTCAAAACAAAAACCATCCCACTTGCGTAGCTCATTTAAAATTATCGCCCACTGTGGTATTTTTTTTTTGATATATCGTTGTCCACGCCAATATAATTTGATGGTTCACTGGTTTTGAACACCCACTACATCTTTGAAAAAAAATATCAAAGCAAATCCTGTATCAAAAAACATGATCCAAATATAAACAATTTCAGAAAGTTGCTGCCTTCAAGCGAGAAACGTTATGTACCATCGAAACCTTTGAGTTGATGCAGCCTCATCCGTTTACAATGGAGATTTCGAAGAGTTATCCGGATTTTTCCTATTTCTAGAATATCCTAGTTGTTTCATTTTTTGCATATAGAGACTTTTAGAAATTCCTTTATTGAATATATGTATAGCATAAAATGTATAGCATAAAATGTATAGCCATCCACAAACTACCTCATGGAATTTAAATTAATCACTGTCATCATTTCGAATTTCCACCCGATTCGATTTTCTAATGCCTGGAAAATACTCTTTTCTTCCCCAGTTTTCCTTTCATTCTGTTCCTTATATCACGTTAAAAACGGGTTTTTATGTTTGAAAAAAAAAGAAGTTTTCTTTCACTCTGAAAATCCTTTAATACTGTTTTTGTTGTAATTCCATACCTTGTCTTGTCTAGATCTCTCATAGTTTATCTGTCAGTTGCCAACATTCATTTTATTCTTATTTCTAGTTTTTTTTTTCCTTTTTCCAGTGGTGTCAAAAGCCTAAAAGCCTTGTGATAAGTGACACAATTGAATGAAAAGTTTCCTACGCCAACCAAACTTTTTCTTCTCCAGGTGTGTAATTCAATTCACAGGACGGCTCTACTACGGTAGTACATGACGTGTCGAGCTGAAATTGTATTATTGTTACGTTTGGGGCTAGAAATGGGGCGGAGTCTAGTGAGCCCAGCCCCCACACACCTTTCATAAGAGCCTTTGAAAGAAGCTAGAAGTCATTCGACATTTGAGCTGCCAGCTATGATGAATCGACAATTCCTTCTTGGTGAGTTCCTATTCCCTATCCAAGTTTTAGTTTTTTCTAACTTAGTATGGAAAAGTAATAGACAAAAAAAGATATATCGATACTGCTAACAAAAAAAAGATTCGGTTCAGATAGTCTTAGAACACTTCAAAATTAGTTTCAAATTTTTACTTTTTCAGTCTTCGTCGCAATCTGCGTGCTCTCCCAAAATGCATCGGCTCTGCGTGGTGCCCTTTTCCGTTCTGGACGTAGCCTCCTTCACCGTCAAAACCTTAATCAGGAGGCAGTCGCCCATCAGACTCATCTGATCCAATCCGAGAAGCGCTCTCCGGTAAGATCAGTATCATAGCTGTGATATTTCAGGCGCATAGAATTTCTAGTTTCTAGATTATGAGTTAACTCTTACAGATCGTGGAGCTCTACCCTGTCGTTGACTCCGGCAATGTTGAACCAGAAGCCTTCCCGTCCTACTTCCGATTCTGATGATGTCCCACCGGAGTTGTCGCCGAAATAGCCGACATAGTGAAGCAATAATTTATATGATAACCCTGTCTCTCTCTTTTCGTCTAAAGTTTACGATTTCTCTCTTGTGTACCATCGATGCATAAAGAATAAACGGTTGTGAAGTGTGTTAACTCATATGTTTCAGTTTTCGCAACCGCAGATCTAATATAATTCCAGGAAAATGCGGTTATAGAATATTTAAATTAGTGAAGACCAACTCTCATGAGTTTACGACTTTTGCAACACTTTTGCACGCAAACAACTTTTTGCTGATAGTACATAATCACGTAATACTAAAAAGAATGTAGTTTGGCAAAAACCATGCCTTGAAAAGAACTGCAATTAAACTACACTCAAAATAGAAAACCATTTCTAGTCAAATATTTGCTGACAATTTGATATCATTGTCACAAATACTATCTCAAATCATTTATCAAAAACTCAACAAAAATATCTTCTCAATTTCTCTCTAATAGAGTAATTTATTTATTTATTTATTTTATTTCAACGAAGGGGAGAAAACCACTAACACGTGAAATGTCTATGAAACTAGGAGATATAACAGGGACATAAATTTGTAGTAATTTGGAGATGAAGGATAAACCGAGTTAGTAATTAGTTGAATTCAAGACAAGAAAATGTTTTAGATCACAGGATAATAGTCGATTTTTGAAAGCCGCTGACGAGGGCTTCACCGGAAACACTTTGCCGGGTAAAGAGTTCCAACATCTGATTACTCTATTAGAGAGAAATTGAGAAGATATTTTTGTTGAGTTTTTGATACGTGATTTGAGATAGTATTTGTGACGTCGCAATGATCCAGCATGATTAAATATTTTGAAAATTGGAACCTCCATGATAATTTCTTTGGAAACAATAATTTTATACGTGTAGACCAAATCATTATAGAGTCTGCGATACTCCAAGGAACTTAGCTGACATTCTTCCAGTGCTTCAAAGTATGAAGTGTATGTCATCCTGAATTTTTGGAAAATTCTGAAAACAAATGACTTTTGCACCGATTCCAATTTTATAATATGATCTTTTAGGATTGGAGAAGTGACTATCGTTCCATATTCAAGTAAAGGGCGTATGTAAATTGTATAGCATTTTATAAAAACACTCCACGATGCGTTTTTTTGAATGGAAAAGAACATGTTGATCCTCTGATGTAATTTCAATCAGATGTTGGAACTCTTTACCCGCCAAAGTGTTTCCGGTGAAGCCCTCGTCAGCGGCTTTCAAAAATCGATTATTATCCTGTGATCTAAAACATTTTCTTGTCTTGAATTCAACTAATTACTAACTCGGTTTATCCTTCATCTCCAAATTACTACAAATGTATGTCCCTGTTATATCTCCTAGTTTCATAGACATTTCACGTGTTAGTGGTTTTCTCCCCTTCGTTGAAATAAATAAATAAATGAATAAATTTATTTTCCCAATTAAAAAAAAAAAAAACTGCATCTCACAAAATACAATTGGAGAACTTTTTAGTTTTTCCAACTGATCTGAAAAAAATTTATCCGGATCAAAACCATGTACCAAAAAACAAGTTTTTCGAACATTATTTGTTTTTCATTGATTTCTGACAAATAAGATGTTTCATGGAAACAAAAAAAAAAAAAAAAAATTTGCCCCATGCCAGGCTCGAACTGGCGACCTTGGCATTCCCTATAAACTATAAGTACCACGCGCTAACCGACTGCGCCAATGGGGCACATCCATCTGTTTATGAATATTCATATACGATGTGACGGTGAATGGACCCCTGGGAAAAAACCATCGAGAGAGAATCGTTTGTTTAATGAACGGGTGTCTCTTTATGTAAATCAATAAAGAATACGTAATCCATTAGGACTTCATAAGTGAATAATCTTTTTGAGCTGTATTCGGTATCTGAGTTTCAATTGAAAAAATATAAACAGTTTCCATTTTGACTTTGAAAAAACAAGAACTGTACTAAGTAGACATCAAAGATTGTTCCGTTTCTTGGAAAAAAGGTTGGGATATTATATTCATCAAGAAAGCAGAAAAAAAAACCAAAAAAATTTGCCCCATGCCAGGCTCGAACTGGCGACCTTGGCATACCCTATAAACTATAAGTACCATGCGCTAACCGACTGCGCCAATGGGGCACATCCACAAGTTTACGAATATTCATAAACGATGTGACGGTGATTGGACCTCCTAGGAAAAAGCATCGAGAGAGAGAGAGAATGCTGCGTTCAATAAAAGAGTGTCGCTTTATGTAAGTCAATCAAAAATACGAATTTCTGTCTCACATTCAGTTCACAAGAAAATTGGTTGTTTTTTCTGAACCATACTCAGTATCACAGTTTTGGATAGGAAAATAGAAAAAAAATCGATTTTTATTTAAGAAAAAACAAGAGCTATTCTTAGTAGATACCAAGAATTCTTTCATTAAAAAAGAAGAAACAAGGTTTAGATATTATTATACTTATCAAGAAAAATACCATGTTTCTGTGCCTAGGTAGAACTGACGAACTTGCATTTTTGTTGATATTCATGCTTACATTGAAAGACACGTTGATTGAAGTGACTATTCTATGCATTTTTCCCATGGGGTCCATCCACCGTCACATCATATATGAATATTCATAAACTGGCGAATATGCCCCATTGGCGCAGTCGGTTAGCGCGTGGTACTTATAGTCTATAGGTTATGCCAAGGTCGCCAGTTCGAGCCTGGCATGGGGCAAAATTTTTGAAGTTTTTTGACAGTATTAAAATGTTATTTTTTATCTGAAATGGATTTGTGTCGATCAATGAGGAACATATGAAGTCGCCATAACTAATTTCCAAAATTAGGGTTCAGGAAGATCGTGTGACACCCGGCGAAAGTGATAAAACCAGCGCGAACCTGAGCAATACAACTTCAATTTAGTTCAAATTTGCATTTTTATTCGAAGAACTGTGAGAAAACATATTACAGCATAGTATTATTACTTTCTAGGCATATTAAAAAAGACAATCTTCCGGAGTTTCCTGTACATGATTTCAGCAGAAATGACGAAAATGGTCAAATCGTGAAGCCACTCGCTGTTCTTATGGTCTGCATCACGTCCTCCGTATTTTTTGTGAGCCTCGCAAACTTCTTTGAGCAGAAAAATTTCCGTCGCGTGTAGTCGATGAATGATATTTTCCAGAATATCATTCTTTAGCGTTTCATTTTCCTCTTTGAGACATCTATTAACAATAACGGATAACTCATAGTAGTCGCGGACCACACGACGGTAATCAAACCGTTTGACGTCGGAACTGCATATGTCAAAACCAAATCTCTTTTCCAATTTTTCGATCCAAACTTTGATGTGGTGCTCGCGCATTTCGCCATAATTCAATGTCACCGGTCCCCATGATTCATGCCGTGTAAATGTTGATCCATAATCTTCTGAAAAAACTCAATTAAGGGCAATCCGTTTCCGATTGTCACCTGGGCGGATTCTGAATTTGCACAGGGCATGCACAACTGGATATCTTTCCACTTTCTCCTCTTTCTTCCCTATAGATTCCCACCAGTGGATACCAACAGCTCTGGGCTGAAAACTTTGTAATGTCCAGAATATGTCGGGATTTCGCTAGTAGATGGTTCCTGGCTTACTGTGTACTTCAGATTGATATCGAAATATGTTGCCAAGTTGACATTCTCAAACTCTTCAGTGTTCACTTTTTCCTTTTTGTAGTGCGAGAGGAAGACTTGTTCGATATAATGCATCTGGAAAAAAGACACATACATTCGAAATCTTTTCAATTTATTTTTTACCATATCTTCTTTATGTTCCAGTTTTTCCATCATTTTCCGAAAAGCCTTCTCAACTGGTTTCACCCAAACAGGACGAGAAAGTGCCATTATTGATTTATACAAACCAGTGTTATTTGATAATATGTAGTATACAGTACCGGACTATAAAATATACAAAAACGTATTTTTCAGCTGATTTTTGGCCATTTTGACTACTTTTCAGAGCCTGGAGTTCTGCTGACAAGTTTTCGACCACATTGAAAACTTTGGAGGGTGTAAAACAGATTTAGATTAAAAACTTTGCATTCCCAAATTTTTTGGAAAATTCCTAGTTTTCAAGCTTAATGCCGGCTCTCAAAAGTTACTTTTTTTCACGTTTCAGTACAAAGACGATCCAAAAAAAGATGTTTTTCAGAAATCGGCCAATAGCTGAAAGTAGGAAATTTGAGAAAATTTTGGTAAATGCAAAGCTTTAATCTAGGTCGTTATCTATCCTCCGAAGTTTTCAAAGTGATTGGAAATTTGACAGACGAGCTCCAGACTACTGAAAGTGCTCAAAATTGCTGAAAATCAACTGAAAAACACGTTTTTGTGTAGCTCATTAACGGGTACTGTAAATCGAATGTTTGAGAAAAAACTGAAAAGAGTTGAATAGTTGAGTTTTTCTCGATTTGATTAAATTCAGGCGGCTGAGAACAGTTATTCTTCGAATTTGAACGAATTAGTAGCCTCATACTTCTGAAAATCTCTCGAGGTATCTGTTTAACTATTTCTGTCTTTTATTGGGATTCTTTTTTACCGTTTCTCATGTTACTAATCATCTTTGTACTTGAATTAGGATTTTATAATTATTTTTTTCAAACCAGTTAGTAAACAGCCTGTCCGTCTGTTCGAGAAACTTTTCTGTTCAAGATCCGTGCTGCGAGCAGCTGGACTTATAGATGAATCGAAAGACAACTTCCATCAGATAACATCTCTGGATACATTTTTGTAGCAAGTGTTCTATGATCTCGGCAAACTCGAATGCGCGCTTCCATACTACATACTAGATCAAAGCAAGGACAAGGTTGCACCATCTGTTGCTACGCGCGCGTATTATGTTTTGATTCCAGACGCGCACTGATCTAGATCAAAAGGTTACAATAATTTACGATCTCTAAAGTCCAAAGATCAAGTTTCCCGAAAACATAATTGCAGTATCCATTAGCGCGATCAGATAAGACAAAAGTTCAGCTTATGTAAATATTGCTAACTTCTCATTCTGCACGTCTCGTGACACCTCCTTCTTCCCTACGAAACTCAAAAACAAGGAAAGTTGTTTGCTACTTTTTATTTCTGCTTCCGAATACAGTTGACTATCTGTGCTATATCGATTCTGCTTCTGCGGTATGAGCGGATTGAATGTGTGGGAAAAATCAAAATATTAGCATGAGATTAAAGGGCAGATAGGAGCTTATCGGCATGGGACACCGGAAAAAATTAAAATAAAAAGATTACCATTAAAATGAAGTAGGAATGGATTAAAAACAATTAGAAAAGAAGAGCCACTTCTCGCATGAGGAAAAACTTTTTTATGTTTTCTATGATTTTGGGGATATTATTGATGAAAATTTTTAAAAATCATGAGTTATTAATCATGAGTTATTAATAAAAGTTCATTAACTATTTTATAATTAAGTACTACCCATGTTTGTAACGCGCCGGGATATGCGAAACTTGAAAATTCAGCTTAAATTTCGAATGTTTTTGAATGATCTAGGGTAAATTTGAGCAAACTGCACCGGTCCGAAAGCCGAAAAGAATCAAAAATAGCACTTTATAAAGTTTTCAGATCCATTCAAAGAAACGGAGAATGCCCGAATATCTTTACAAGGGGCTCACTCCTTGTGACCAATTCGACATCAAAAAAGAATACAACGAGATCCACAAAGATCTCCGTGATGGATGCGGAATCGGAAATCACGGAGACACTGTGATAAGCTTCAAGTGGGCTGTGAGTTTAACAAATACATAAATTTCGCGTGATTCGGAATTTTCAGAAAACCACTGTCCAGCTTCTTTGCCGCACAAGACAGTGGCTTCTTGTAAGTGATATCATACTGTAAGGACAAGACTAATAATCGAATAATCGCTGATTTCAGAACAATCCGATTGTCACTAGCGAGAACGAGCGCGCGACTAGAGATATTCGCCGCAACAACAAGGATCGTTTGGAGTACATCGTCCGCATGGCTAGCAACCCATATGATCAGGTGAGGAATGGGAAAGCTTTAGATTTTGGAGATTCCCACGTAACCTTTCCTTAGCTAGTGGGATTATTAGGCCAAATTTTCAACCGTATGCGGAATGAACGTTTGCAGTGTTTGTTGCAAAGTTTAAAGTTTTTTCAACATTTAGGTAACTCGGAAATTTTGCATACACAGAAAAACAATGGTTCATCAGATTCGGAGTTTGTGAAAATCCATAATTTTTGTAGGATTTAAAAGAAAATGACTGTAAAGATTTACCTACTCACTTCAAACGTATTAATTTTTTGTGATGCGCTTTTCAAAATATGAAAATTTTCGTTCTAAAGTATTTTCCAAGTTATAATTTTCCATTCTAACAATTTCATGAATTTTTGAGATTTTTAGTACTTTTTCGAAAACAATTCCACACAATTTGAAATCGTTAAACTTTTTACAAATTTGAGATCTGAATCCTTGCACTTTGAGCTCAATTATCTCGGTTTCTCCAAGAATATCAAAAAGTCGTCAACAGTTAAAATGTTTGTAATTTCAAAAAAAACTTTTTATCTGCTGTCAAAATTTTCGCGTCTTGAGAAAAAACCGAGAGAAATGAGCTCAAAGGGCACGTATAGGCTGTGCACCTATTAGAGCAACTTCGGTAAGTTTTGGAATTAAGGTTGAAACCTTAAAAATAATATTTATAAAAAAGAAAAAAAACATATTTGTAAACCTGATTCTGAAAAGTCTCGAGTAAAGTTTGAATCGTGGATACCAGGTGAGGGCGTGATTCTGACCCGAAATTTGGAGTTGGATCTGGTAGAAAACACATGACTTTACTCCATATAAGTACAAAATGAAAAGTACAATGAGTCATTTTCATGCATATTTGTATTTTGAAGAGGCTTCATCACTGATCGAAGATTTATAGAAAATTAGATTATTGTAAGACGGGCTTTCAAAGGGAGTTCGGTAAAAATCCATTATATGAAATAATTTCTCAAAAAGTTGGTTTTTTTCCAGAAAGAGTACGAAAAGTGTATGCAACTTCTGCACAGCTGTCTTGCGGAGGAGCTCATTGCCATGCACCATCTGGATATGGCGTTCCAGCTCAACGTTGAGAGTAGCAACAGTGTCGAAGTCGCCACTTCTTCTCGTCTTTGAGCCTATGTTATTCTGTACATCTGTACAATAAGATCTTTACTTATTTTGTGCAACTTCTCAATATCGAATCTCATACTTTTTCAATTTTTCTTGTTTTTTATGAATTTTTGTCTTGTTATGACTTTTCCCCTTGGTTGTTGTACATACTTCTACCTCCCCCTTCAATTGGAAACTGTTTTTTTTGTTGATATTTATTCCTGTTCTTGTTACCAACATTCACTGCCCCCCTCCCCTTGTTTTTGTTGCGAGCAGTTGTGCTTTTTTCCATAATATGTTCATGGATACAGTTGAAAATGTTTTCATTTGTTCAATTTTACCTGAATACATTTTCTTTTTTTTTAAAGCTTTGTGTAAGTAGTGAAAAGGTATTGTAAATACTATAACAAAATTTCTTCTGAACGTCTACTTCGAGACGATTCGTCTCGGTCATACTTGAAAATTCTATTAGGCTATGATAGCTTGATTTCTGTGAATGGCAATTATGGCTACTGCCGCTTCTTTTCCATTAACTTTTTTCTGTCATACCGTACTTCCTCTATTAGAAGCCTAACCAAACCGCCAACTTGAAACACAAACATCTCGAATTCTGTCCAAGATCTCGGGAATCTGTCAACTGATAAGATGTCAGTATGAAAATTTTCAGTCCAAATATGAATATTGAGCTGAAAATTTCATCACTTCTAGCCATATTCTTGATAAAGAAACATTTGAAAAATAGTTGTATCTCTGAAAAACATCGAATCTCATTACTCGTACAATGGATAGAAACAAAGCAGGTATTTATGTTATTTAACGCTCTCAACAACTTCCCGAACTTTTCAAAAAATTGTGCTTCTCTGGATTGATTTCTTCCCACTTCATTATTGTCTTCTTTTTTTTCTTCTCTTTTTATCCTCACGTCTTCAAAAATTTTCTCATTCTCTTTGCCACTTCCGCACCCTATTTGTTTGAAACCACGCCACCCGTCCGCCGGCGACTACTCCAGTAGGCGCCGAGAAACATCCATAGAAAAACAGAAGGCCCTCGGCAAAAGCTACAACCACTACTACCCCCTGTGCAATATTCCGGAATTTTAGAGAAGAAAGAAAAAGCGACTCGTCAGCAGAACGGGCGGTGCCGTGCGGTGTCGTTGGCGTTCGTGCGACGCGGAGTCAAGCGCTTGCCCGGCGCCTCGTTCCCTCTCTTTTTAGAATCTCCGTGAAGACGAGAGAGCACTGGAGACAAAGAGACGTAGCCGCCATTTCACCTCCCACAAGGACAACAAGAGGTGAAAACGAACACACGAACAGTTGAAAAAAGGAAAAGAGGGAAATGGAGAAAATAAAAAGTGGTGACCTAGTGACCATTCCCCTCTCATTTCACTTTCACTCACAAACCTCGAAAATGGAAAACAGAGATAGTGAAGAGGAATACAAAAATTTGATCAGAAGGAACGAAAATTCAAACCTGGAATCATTCGAGATATAGAGATATTCGAGTTCGATATGAAGTCATACCTAAAAATTTAAAATACTGATATTAGTTCTAAAACTGCCTTCTGTTTCTGAAATTCGGCAAATAATTTACAAAAGAAGAAAATGGTGTTCAGCACAAATTTGAGAATCTATAATATTTTATTATTCCTTCAATTGAAAAGTTCAAATCTACTAATAATCTGAAAATCTCGATGCTTTCCAGACAGTTTTTTCAATACATTTTTTGAAATTTCAGTTATTTCCAGTGTTTACTGACCATTGAGCAACTTTACATAAACTGACTTTGATCCAGAATATTCCCGAAATAAAAAACGTCATGATGGAAGATCCAAAAAAATTGTATAGTTGAGAAGAGTTAGAGGGAAGTGATCTTCTTATCTGCGGATTTAGAGATTTGTAGTCAACCAAAAACTTATCTATATATGAGTACTTAGTGATATAGTAGTTGAGCTATATCAAAGTACTTCGAGGCTGCACCACAACCACTTTTCCTATTCTTTAATAATCCAATTGTATATATTATATTGCTTTGAAAGCTATTCTGATTTGGATCAAATTTCAGATCTTTGTTATTCGGAAGAAATTTTTCTAGATCAACTTCTCCCCAATCCTTCCTATTTTTATCTTAACTCTGTTTTCTTCTCAATTTTTCCAGCTCTCATTATTGCACTTCTATCCGTTATTACAAAATGTTGCTAACTGCCCAACACACGTACATACACAACGCATCTACTCGCTTATCTCGTCACAACGCTACTTGCCCTTCTCTTCTTTTTTGCCTCCCAGAATGCACTTTTAGTCCCAGCCATTCCCTCCGTCCTCTTCTCGTTCCGCGTTCTCTCGCTCCTTTCTTGGCGCCGAGCAGGGGAGCCAGCGCCGGCTTTACGCGTGGTGCCGGCACGGAGTGATACTGAAACACGGGCGCTGCTTGAAATGTGCGGTGTGCTCCGGAGAGAGAAGGGGCGGCGTTGTTGTTGTCGCCGTCGTTTTTCTCTCTCGAGGCGAAACAACATCTAAAAGTGCACGGCGCCAACGAGCGGGGCAACATGAAGATAGCGCGCCGGGCGCAGAGAAACGAGAAGAACGGGTTCGATGAAATGCCAAAAGTGCAAGTGAACTTGTGTGCGGAGGATGAAGAAATGTTGCGGACGCACATATACGCTGGGGCGGTGCCAGTCCGCGTGCCCCCTCCGCGCCTGGGGGTCACAAACCGAACGTCCTGAAAGATGAGGCAGGAACACGAGACGCAGAGACTCGAGGCGCTCACCCCCAGGCCCTGGCGTCCAATTTTTTAGAGAGAAGGAGGAGCGTTCAGTGTCTAGAAGTTTCCCCCAGACTTCGGGGCCTGTTGTAGGAGAATGACCATCACTGTCCTGGGGTAGGGGTAGGGTACACTTGTTTGTTTGGGGGTAGCCGTGCTCCGTTCGTTTTTTTAGTATTTCTGTTCCCCGTTAGGTCAGTTCGTTCGTTTGATTAACCGAACGGTATGCTGGTCAGATATAGACTTGATGCAAAAGATCGTGATTACCTTTTCGGTTTTCTTCCTGCTTCCTCTAAGCTTACTGAGATTATATTCTACTGAGCATTCAGGAGCCATCTTTTCATTAGTGTCTAAAGATTATTAGGTACCGGATCATGACTAATATGTAACACTGTTATATTGATAGCTCCTCAAAAAATATCTGATTTAAGCTCGAAATAATTATTTTCTTCTGTCCAATGTGGGCCTTTCAAACTAATAGCCTTTCAAACCATGATGCGAAACGGTAAGAATTTCAGCAAGATCAAAAAACATGTCTACCTGGAAGTTCTGGACCGACTATAAACCAGCGAACAACTCAAAACTAGGTACATATTATGGTCTACATTGCCTACCGTGAAGCCTGTCCCAGAGCCCAGGCACAGTCCAATTTTAGCTCAATTATCTTAATTTCCATACGAGATATGAAAAATGTTCCAACTGACAGAACACTTCTAATGTTATGATAAACAATTTACCAGTTTACCACTTTTTCATATATCTGACAGTATCCAAGAAAAATCGGCTCAAAATTAGTGGATCCTTTTAGTTTTACGGCATATCTAAATGCCGATTTTCATACCTGAAGCCGTGAAACAGTCGGACCAGTTGAATCGACGCAGGATGTCACCTGTTTCTCAGTTTCTATTTCAAATCGCGAAATTGGACTACTGTCTAATTTTGAATTAGCCTGTGGTTTTCATCGAGTGCCACACAATGCTATTAGATTTTCGCTGAACATAGATGTTTAAACCAGGTTATGAGCCGGCATTCTACCGGTCCGGTTAACGAGAATGAAAAAATATCCCTAAACTTGATGTATTTCTGATTTAGTTTTTCTGCAGTTGTTTGATAAGAGATATCCTATCCTAGGATTTCAGAAATCAGGTGTTCGTTTAAGTATTTTAAATTGGAAAAAAATATGAGAAAACTGATGTTCCTGTTTATGAACCCCTTCCTAAACGATTTACCGTAAAACCTCTAATAGAACGACACCCGGATCGTCCACTTTGAGCCTATATATCTCACTTCTTTTGAAAGATATCCAAAAGTGGTTAACTAGTAAAATGTTTATCAGGATATCAGCAACATTTTACTAGTTAGCCACTTTTTGATATCTTTCACAAAAAGTGAGATATATAGGCTCAAAGTGGACGATCCGGGCGTCGTTCTATTAGAGGTTTTACGGTAAATCGTTTAGGAAGGGGTTCATAAACAGGAACATCAGTTTTCTCATATTTTTTTCCA